ATTCCAGCTGAATTAAGACAGCACTGCTGTACTGTGGCTACAGAGGAACTTGGGACAGCTCAAACACAGGAGGCAGCGTGGCTGTATCAGCACCGTRCTCTCTGTAGGTTAATTACTCCTGCTAAGAAGTTGGAATGTTAAATCCATGCTAAATGCAAATCCGTGCAATGTTCCTGCCTTCCCCTTGGGCTGTGCTGAATGAACTCTGCTGAGGAGGGCTTTCTGCTTGAAACCAGGKACCTCCAACAGCCACAAAAACTTATGGAGGTGTAAAGCATAAGGAGATTGGACAGTTTAACAGGGGCAGCTCCAGAGAGACAGCCCAGGAAGGCCGGGGAGCTCRTTTCCATTGCTCCAGGCAGAGGAATCAGAGCTGAGTGCTGCTGCAGTGTCTGCATTGCTGCACATGCCCTGGTGGGGTTTGAGGCCATGGGGACACTTTACACCAGTTTTTAATTCACTGGGGGAATACATGGTTCCTTCCTGAGGGTGAGGCACCATCTTTGAGGTGAAAGAAAAATGCTGGAAATCACCAGCAGCTCTGGGCACTGGGCAAAATTAAATCAGTCAGAATGCAGAATTACAGAAAGAACTGCTAATATTTTAGCCTACAACACACACACACACACACACACACACACACACACACACACACACACACAAAGTAAAGATGGTGAAGATGAAACTTAAACAACTGTTTTGTCCAGCACTGTACAAAGACAAATGGGAATGAAGTGAAGAATAAGAATACCAAAGCTTACACCATGTTGCATTGTCCTCCAGATAGTCCTCTGGGAAGCAAGAGGGAAACAGATTCAGGGAACAGAAAAACAAAACAAAACAAAACAAAATAAACCACAAGTTATACCAAACAGGAAACCACAGAGAAGAAAACGAGTCTTTATAAGCAATTGATTTTAAATAAGAAACTTTAGACCATGCTCTACAGAAGTGGGTGAGCCCAGTGGTTAAAATTATTAAAATTTTGACATTTTTTAAATTTACTGGTCTTCAGGTGTACTTGTTAGATGTCTAGACTAAGATAGGCACTTTTTGGCACTTTGTTGTAGAGGCATATGGAAAGATTTCTCTGAGCTGTTCAAATGCATGCTTTAGGATGAGATGAATTGAGCTTCAGAAATATTTGATCTCGATTCAGTTGACTAAATTCATGCTTAGACAACTGAATGAAGGCCTTTATTTCTGTTAACAATAAAAATGACAGTCATCTTGGACTCAAATCTAGATAGCTGGTTCTGGATTTCTATACTGAATCAGAAAATCTTAATTTTTTGCTTCTGTTACAGTCTGTAAGAGGCGGAACACAGTTATCTAAACATAGGCAGATTAAGTGAATTTAGCAGCTCTGAGATATTCCATCTGAMTTCTAGCCAGGTGTCCTGTAAGCTCATCTTCATCTTTGGACATTTTGATGATCACAGGCATCTCAAAGAGCTTTAGGTGGCCATATCTATGTAGCTGAATTTCACACAATGCAACCTGCAGAGAACAGCTGGGGTTCAGTTCTGTTCTCCCACTCGGATGCCTCATCCAGGACTTTACCTTCCAGTCCAGGGGAGCATAAGCATCTCAAATTACTGCTCYGTTTTCCAGCTCAGTCAGATGACTTAAATACTCCAAAGCATTTCAGTCTTGCCTGTCTACATGTGGATATCCCAACTGAGTCTTTTGTTTCCCAATCTTTGAGAGGTTTCTGTGACAGAGGAGGYGAATCACTCWCCAAAGCGTGTCTCTCTCCATTGACTTCAGAAAGAGCCTGACTTTCAGGCCCATTRCTGTGAACATGTGATTGAATTKTCTGAGCATAAGTATCTTGAATTGYTAGAGCTTCTGTAATGTATTCAAGCCAGCTGCCCTCTGCTGCTCCAGAAGTGTACTGGTCTCCTTTAYCCCTGTGCTGGTCCTGTATTTCAGATACCCTAGGATGCCTCAGATGATACTTTTCATCCATGCTTAGGCAAGTGTCTCAAGCTCTACATAATTTTCTAAATACATCAGAAGCTTTAAAACCACATATTTCACAGCTTTTGGGGGATATTTTTCCCCCACATTTCTTATAATTTATTTTGATCTGTTTCTTATTTGTTAAGCCTTACTTGTTACAGTGATRACAATAACACAGAGAAATCACTCTCCCTCATTTTGAAATGGAATAGCTGGATTAATCACATAAATTCAGGCAAGGATTTAGGAACACTTTCTCAGCTGGTTTCAGTACCTGGTGATTTCACTGTAGGCTTCTGATGAGGGCTGCTTGTGCAACACACTTGAAAAAATATGCTCCACTGAATGAAGCTCATAAGTGGGGATATGAGCAGGACTAAAAAAATATTTCAGTTCAGATATGCTGCATGTTTGTATAACACTGAGATGCAGAGGAAATACTTTATAAACTTGGTTTCTTCTGCTGTCAAACACAGATAAAAGCAAAATGGTTTGTYGCTTCTTTTGAGGTTTTTTTAGTTGTATGTTTGGACTTTGTGGTGACAGTTTAAAATCAAGTAGTCTGACAGTGTTTTGTGAATACAAACTCTAGAGTAGACTTCTAAAAGCATTAATATAATACTGAACAGTCTTCTGAATCACAATAAAAAGCTTCTTATATCTATGATAATCAAAAGGGTCTTTAACTGTTTGAAAATACCATCAAAATATTCATATTGCAGTGTATTTATATTATGTAAGCAATGGAAAATGATCAGTGCTGTGAGTGGGGTTCTCCTTACATACTGTCAGCAATGCAAGGGTTAGGAGTTCCTAAATGAAGCTGGTCCTTGATGCTCTGGCCACAGTTAATGAAGAGAGATACGTCATTCAGGGAATGATTCAGCACATGGAAAGMTGAGGGTCCAACACAGACAGATTAAATGGTGTTTCTGTGAGGCAGGAGAGTAGCATTTATATCCTTCTGGATAAAATTACCCAGGATGGTGTGAGATGCAGGCAGTGACCTTTCCCAAGAGCTGCTAAGGGATTACAGCTCTGAAATAAGGCCTTCTGCTCTAATCCACATAAACTATCCTTCCTAGCTCCGCTGAGATCATCAGGATCTCTGAATTGAGAGATTGTTGGTCCCAGCCCAGAAGGGGACAACACATTCATCACTGCCACTTGAAGATGGATTTGATTCCAACACTCAACACTAACAGACCATAAATAGTTATTATTTTAAATACCATCAGCAAGAATGGGAAACAGGCATTTGGTTTGAACCTTTTAAAAATTAACAGCAGCATTATTAAATTCTTTGTTTTTTTCCTGAAATAATGGATGAACAAAACTAATTAAATCATGTGGAGATACGTTCCCCTTTCAAAGTCTGGAAGTTATTAGGAGTTATCAAGAATTAACGGCATTGGCAACTTTGATTAGTTACGGCCTTTAAAGGCTGGCAGCATAGGATGCATCTCTGCTTTATTCAAGATGCTGCTCAGTATTTTGGAAGCTAGTAGTTTTAAAAGGATGTTAATTAATGTGTCCAGAAATTTTCTTCTTATGACAATATGTGACCTATGTAAACCTTCCTTTTTTATTGCAAAAATGCTGGAATTRTTCTTACACCATCAGAGCAATCCAAGATGAGCTGTGCTGCAGCCCCCTCCTTTTCATGCTCTTCCTCCCATTTCAGCTGTTTTCAACCTTTAGATTTGATAGATCATGATTGAAACTCAAAGGTTTTGGTGACCTTTGGTCACCTTGGCCARTTCTAGATTAATATCCAGGCCTCTGCTCTGAGCAATGCAGAAGGAYTGGTTCTCTGAATCTAAAATGAAAGAGTAAAATTAAGATCCCATCAAAAATAGGTTGAGTATTGCTAGTCAGATTTTTAGCCTGAGATGTTACACTGGGCTATGAATGTGCTCTGGTAGAAATACCTSAGTCTACAATGGAGGTAAACATCTCATATTCTCATTTTAGGATAACCAGGCCACACTGTTTCCAGAAGAGCAGAGAGCTGAGATGTTGCTTTTTGCTGCAGGGTAATCCAGTGTCTTGACTAGAAATACTATGTTGTTCTCCCACTGAGTTGCCATAAAAATTGATGGAATACAGTAGATAGAGTACAGCATAGATAGAAGGGACAGACTTGGTGCTGTGAAACAGCATTGCCTGTGTTTGATGAAGGATGGTGTCAAGAAGATAYCCAGGTCCTCATCTGGATTGGGATATTTGGGTCCTCTCTTTGGCAAGACAGACCAGTGCCGTGCAAGTGTGCAGCAATAAGCTGAGGACATGTGTTACAGTCTGTTTTAAATCAGAAACTCTTCAATTTTACACACTGGTTTTACCTAGAGATGATTGCTGGGTGGTATTAACAGCTGCAGTAATTAGCCCTCTATAAATCTATAGATGTATAAATAGCATGAACATTGAGGTCTGAAAGGTGAATCCAATGATTGGGAGTAAAGAGAATAATCTTACATTAAAGTATTTTTTTTTTCAAAATGATTGAATAAGTAAAGCAAGATTAATGATCACTGAAGTTTTAGCTGATTAAAGTCAATTGTTGAGATGGATGGCAATAAAGCAGGGGTAATCTTATAATTAAGTAAAGAAGTGAAACAAATAGCTGTGTCTTTGCAAAGGTATAAATTAAAAAAAAAAAACTAGATGATAAAAATGGCCTTAATACATAACTTTTCTAATAAAATAAAAATATATAAATTAATATTGTTGCAGATCATTTTTGATAGATAATTTATACTGCAAAGTACCTGCAAAGGCTTATGTGGTTTTTGGCCTCTCGGAAAGAGTTTATTCTAACAATTCTAATACATAAAAACTGAGTCTTACCGCTCTTTTACAAATAAATTCTATACCACTTCCAATGAAGAAAAAAGGCTTTMCTGAATGCTGGAACAGTTGGCAGATAAACTACATAGAGTGAATACTAAATTATTGAATCAGGAGATTACCACCTTCTAGTGTATAGCCAAGCCTTTTCTACTAATCTGAAGATTGAATCCATTTTGCCTTACCAGCCTATCCAARCTTGTGCCAGCAGCAGTTGTAGGTCGCTCCTCTGGGTTATATGGTCTAAACCGGGTATTRAAATTTTCGGGGACAGAACGGGAAGATCTCAGGGCAGGTGCTGGTTTAGGCTGGCCACATCCTTGGAAAACCTGAAAAAGACATTCTTGGTTATATCAAAAATCATAAAAAAGGGAAGCTGGTATTTTCTATCCTCTTTATTCTTTCTTTTTTATGCCTGAAACAAGATTTGATTGACGTTTTTATACTAGTGAACTGGAAGCTTGGCCTGYATTAAAACTCAGGTTAATTATTTAGTATTATTAATTACTTGGTGAAGGTATAGAAACATATAGGGACCTTAAAACCTCYTTAATTGAAGAAGGTGATTATTATGAGAAATTAACATCTGAAAGCATTTTAATTGCCATCTTTCCAGGAAGAGAAATGCACAAAAGGATGTCCTTTGTGGCAGGACATAGTTGATAACTGTTTTCAGYTTTGTTAAAATGTGGTATTTACCCAGAATTACAGGTCATCTGTAATCCCTACCTACAGCTCTTTCTACCTTGCAATCTTGTYTGTAGTCTTAGAGAAAAGGTCAATGATGAAATAGTCTTGTAACTGGATGACTTTCTTACTCCCTACCAAYCTCTCCCCAGAAGATGTGAGAGGCACACTGAGTGGGCAACAGTGACAGTTATTTTCTGTGTTTATTTTCTGGGTATAAAAAACAATGTTCAGGGTTATGAAATTTTTCATAAACTTCCATTTGGAATAAGGTTTCAGTATTGTGTATCTGGTAGGTACTAAAGGATGCAGAGGACACTTTTGACTACTGGATATCAAGTATATTTCCCAGAGGCATTTTCACATAAGCTGCACATCCGAAAASAGGCAGAATATCCACAGAGTTAAAATTTTCAAGTGCTCTCAAGATGTAGAATTCTAGTGTTTGCCTTCATACCAACTTTCTCAGTTTTAGRATAATCCTTCTTTTTTGTGACCATTGTATTTTGGCTCTTTCAACATTGTGCCTCCAATCAGAAGAAAAAACAATCAGAATTTCTCATAAGASATAATTYACGAAACCTGTCTCCAGGATGGAYCCACCACTGGCCAAGGCTGGGCAAATCAGGAATGATAGTGATGCCTCTGGGAAAATGTATTTAAGAAGGAAAAAAGTTGCTGTGCAGATGTAATTGCAGCCAGAGAAGAGCAGAGTGAGAACATGTGAGAGGAACAGCTCTGCAGACCCCAAGGTCAGTGCAGAAGGAGGGGCAGGAGGTGCTCCAGGCACTGGAGCTGAGATTCKCCTGCAGCCCATGGTGCAGCCCATGGTGAGGCAGCCGTGTCCCTGCAGCCCATGGAGGTCCATGGGGATGCAGAGATCCACCTGCAGCCCGTGGAGGAGCCCGTGCTGGAGCAGGTGGATGCCTGAGAGGAGACTGTGACCCTGTGGGAGGCCCGTGCTGGAGCAGGTCCTGGCAGGAATCTGAAAACCATGGAGAGATGAGCCCACAYTGGAGCAGGTTTCCTGGTGGAACTTGTGACCTTGTGGGGGATCCATGCTGGGGCAGTGCCTGAAGGRTTGCACASTGYGGAAGAGTGACCCACGTCCACGGTGCAACTTTAGTTTTTTTCAGGGTACATTAAATTGACGCTCGGTTAGGTTTCCTGATGTTAATTTAGAGGCCCCAAATGACTCAAGATTTGCTAAAAGAAGCTGATTCGTYCTAAATATATGTACAGTCATCAGGTCTGCTTTGGCTCAAAGTCCAGCAAGTCAGCTGTTGTATGGCCATTGGGATTTTTAATTTGTGAATGGAATACTGTTTTGTCTGGTTTGAATATTGTTTGGTCAGGTTTCAAAATATCGGTATTAAGAGTTTCAAGCTTCCCTGGTCATGAGGGCTATTAGACAATAAATTAATTTGATCAACCAAGAAAAAWTATTTTAGCTTGTAAAGTTCTAAATTTTTCAGCAGGAAAGAATCTTATTTTTCCTCTGTGAAGAAAATTCAACTAAGATTAATATACAAGGTTTATACATGATTGTGTAGGATACTGTGCAATTTAAAGGATGAAATCTATRTTCTGAGAGTGTGAATTACACTTACAAAAGTTTTCTTATATTTCTTCTGACTCAAGGTAAGTTATGTGCTGAAAACATAATTATTTATTTGGATATCTATGAAATCCCTTAATTTACTCAATTAAGCAACCAGGTATTTGCTTACAAAGCAAGTGACAATTATCCAAAACATACAACTAGATTCTCAGGAGAAAGGAAAGTGAGGGCACCTCCTAAATTTCCCAGTGTGTGCTTGTTAGGCTGCATGCTGATGCAACCATGTGGTGCAACTGCAAGTCTACATAAATTATATTTCATCTTTCTTATGACCTACTGAAAAAGCCCCCAAAAGAGACTTTGTGGCATTTAACTTCATACAAATAGCTGCAGAAAGTGCAACAAATTTTATACAAATTTACATAAAGCCAGACAATAATAAAGATAGAAACTAGACAGTAATATTTATACCACAGAAGAAGAAATAACTTGCTTTTTAAATGACCTGGTGGAAATGCAGTAAGGATACGTTATTCAGTAAATAAATTTTTTAATTTCCATCCTGGTATTAAGTGACAGAGCACAAAATGTGAAGCTGATAACTGATATTAACAAATGCTTCCTAAGAAAAAGTATATGCGATACTTTCCTTACAATGCTATTCAGAGATATTGAACAATTTCTGGAAAAAAATTCAGGTATTTCCTTACATATACTGTGAATTGGTAGCATAAACCCAGTCTCTAAAAATTTACATTTTATATGTAATTGGTGTCGTCCATTTCATCTGAGTTTAGAGAATGGATTCCTTTTGAAACTAAGAAACCTAAATTTAGGTATCAACATGTATGTGTCTACATTTAAGCTAAACATCTAAAATAATGGAGAACAAAAGCTTCCTTCTCTTTCTTTCACATCAGCATCTCCAGGAGTTTGTGATGCCCTGGGATATCTGAGACACTGGTTAAAATTGTCTTAACACGAACCCATTCCCCACTGAACTGCAGTTAAAGCTCAAATGGACCAAATCTCTGTGGTCAGGGATATGAACTAACCTGTAAGAGCAAGTCAACAGAGCCAGTGAAGAATTGTATCTCCTGAGCTGACTAAATGGAAGTATCTCCTTTAGGACTAGGATGTAGATACAGCTGAAAAAAAAAAAGTGCTTTTTTCCCAAGACAATTTGAAGATTTGAATTTSTGTGGAAGATCCAGTTTGTTCTCTGTGAAGCCTTGGGTCATACTGTTATTTAGCCATGTGCTAGTGCTCAGTGCTTCCAGTTGAGTGTCTCTATATGATTCTGCTCCATTGACTCTTCAGACAGAATAGCATTGATTTTTTACCTGAAATGCCATTATATTTTTTCTTGCACAGAGCTCTGGAAAGAACACAGATAAATGAAGAGGTTTTCTTCGTATGAAACTTGTGGACTATTTTAAGAAGAACCTTGTGAAGATAGCCTCCTTATAAATAATGCATAGGTAGTCTGCTATGTCATGGAGCTCATTCATCCATTTAGCTGAAGTAATTGCTGAGAAGGAACTTATATTTATAGGTTAAAATGGCACATCCATCAACTCAGATAAAAGCAGATTTAAGGCTTACTAAGGGGAAACTCAGTTATGGGATAGAGTAYAAGAAAGTGAAAGAATCTTGTCAAGGCAGCCAAATGACTCTTACAGAAGTCTAACATACCTGTATAGAACCAGACCATTGCAGAAAATAGTCTAACAGGTTGTGTTTTGAGCAGCAGTGGAGACAGGATTATGCTGATGCAACCAGATTAGGAATTATCTCCACTCTGGGGAAAAAAAATGTTATAATATCTTCAGTGCTGTTTTTTGAGTTTTCCTCCACTTGTGAATGAGCAGTCGCTGCAGATGTCAACTAGTAAATGTCTATATTRTTAAAATGGAGCAGATGTAGGATTTACTTTTTGACTTGAAGCAGGAATCAAAGCTGATGGTATTGACAGCCTTATGGGAAAATGGTGAAGGCTYTTAAAACATGGTTGCTTTGGCCAAGACTGAAATGAGCATTTATATGTTATGACCCTCTGAATATGACTACCTGAATTACCACAGGGAAAATGAGAATGAGAATAAGGTAAATGTATGCTATGACCATCTTGGATAGGAGGTGAACCTTGGGAAGCAACATACAAAATGTAAAAATTTTGCTTGAGACATAATCAACATGATGTTGAGCACTGAGTTTGGCACTGTATTGTTTAAATACCAAAAAGGAGTCACTGAAGAATAACAAAGACATTTCAATAAAGAGGATAACCTGTCTCAGATATTATAAGGAGAAATCAAAGGTATATCTATTCTACCCTGACTTCTGCCAGAGGCAATTTTCAGGGAGCACTACCCTAGTCTGGGTAGAYCCAGATTGCAAAGCCTGTTCTTAAAAGGTACTGATGTTTTGGGAAACATGTCAGGCAGCCCAGGCTGATTGTTTTGCACTCTGTGTGGTTTGGTTTGAAGAAGGTGCTCTGTAAGAATGGCTGCAGGAGCTGGATGATGAATCTGTAGAATCTGGTTTTGATGATCTTCAGTCCTTGCCTTTTCCTGGGGAAGAGAAACTTTGGTYTGATTCAGAGCACATAGATTCCTCCAGCAGAAAGGCCTTGGGCCTTGGGGTCTGGCTTTCTATACCACTGCTCCTTTTTGTCAAGCATCTCCAGTTGTCACAGCTGTCAGTAATGGGACTTCCCCTGAGGCAAAAGAAGGACCTTGTGAGGCTGTCATTAAGGGACACGACAGTTGTGCAAGGTGAGCAGCCAAGAAATCTAGAGATCTGGGGTCAGACTTTCTAGGAAGCCAGTGCTGAATATAAACTGTGGAGAAGTATGAAGAAAATAGAGAAGGATTGCAGTCTTAGCACAAACTGGAGGATCTTAATGTGATACTAGCACATGGTTAATGTGAACTGCGCTAGAGGAGCCAGCTACAATCATCACACAAACAGGAAAAGTTAATGGCCTGGGAACAGAGATGCTCTATTTGATGCAGGAGAGATACTGGAATGTGGCTGAGTCTGTATGTCCTTGGTCAGCATTACAAAGACAGAAGAGGTACATGTGGTATGTCAATAGTTCCATCTCAATATTGATGTGCAGCATTCAAAATGGAAGACGAAGGGTTCGTGTCTTCTAAATAAATGAAAAACAAGGAGTGAACTCAAGCAATAAGCCTTGACTGTCTTCACTGATTAATTGTCAAGACATCGGGGTTTTTTTTGACTTTTGGAATAAGGCAATTTAAYACAATTACTTGAAACAGGAGCATTGGATTTTGGATTAAATAAACTCTGTGTCTTCTGCCCACAAAGAGCTTGAAATAAGTGAGAGCTCCTTGAGGAAGAAAATTTTTTGCTTTCACTTTTTCCACTCCTTTTAAAAGAAAAAAATGTTATATAACACGGCCCAAAATTCTGTTGAATATAGCATACAGTCTTCTCCCAGACATCAAGCAGATTTTTAGGTAGAAAAGGCTGCATGTCAGTGGTGGAAAATAATCTATGTGTATGTGGGTGTTGCAGGCATAACATTATTAGTGCATCATCATTTTTCCAATGTAAAAAGGAGTGACTGTCTTGTGGAAAAATAGCTATGATTCCTAGTCACCACATTTTTCAATGGGTACAGTCAAATAAAAGGTACAAAATTATCTGAAGAATAAGAAAATAGGAAATATCATGATTTCAACACCCTATTTGAAGCATCTCAGAATAATTGACAGGAGTGGATTTTCTCCCGCATTAGGTCTGCAATTGCATTCCATGCACCCCATTACGTCTGGCAAGGTACCTGTCGTTTCCACTGAAGCTCTAAATGGTCCGTGTGTGTAAGGAAGAAAAAGCAGACAACAGTGGACAGATTTGAAGCCTGCTTATATATCATCTCTACAGGTCTGACCCGGCAGAGGAAACCACAGCATGAAATCCAAAGCCTTTGTCTTTTTTTTTTTTTTTTTTTTTTTTTTTTTTAAGGCTAAAACATGTCCACATTACATGAAAAAGGATCATATGACCTAGGAGATCAAGGAAATTGCATTTCAAGAGAATAATGGTCTACAGGGAGCATACAAGGGTCTCTCAAGGATAGACAGCTCTGTTATCTATGAAAATAAAATACAATAAAATTTGCTGATATAATTCCTTTTCTGTTATTCAAGATTAAAAAAAAATATTGTCTAAGGTTTTTCTTAGAGGAAAAACTTTTACAAGTGGCATTGCTATTAATCTTTACAGCAAATAAAATATTTTTGAGGGACAGGAGAAACAGTCTGCTTTGCTACAAACAAATAGAGAGATGAGCTCATGCCAAAATGTCATTGAACTCTGGCAAGGGATRGAGCTTTTCAAGTAATGGAAAAACTGTGAAAACCAAACAAGAAAAAAGGAAAACAAAATACACCTGGACCTCGGGTGAGTTTTAGGTGAAAATACTTTTTTGTTTCTTTTTTGAGGTAAGGACTGATTTTGCTGAAGCTAGCCTTTAATTCCAAAAATATCTGTGAGAATTTGGCTTTAAACACCTTGTTCACTGGTGCCAGAATAAAGTCTYGTCCTGCAGGATGTAGACTGCTTTTAAAATCCAAGGAACATCATGTAGGTTGAAAGTAAAAGGCATATTGAAGGAAACTTTTAGCCACCTGCAGCACTGGGGCCATAAAAAGCGTCTAATTTTGGGTTGGCAGGAAGAATATAAACCTCAGGCTCCTGCCTTTTGTCCCCACTTTTTTTTTCCCAGCTACAGCTGCTTCCTTCTAAGCAATGGAAAATCACTGACTTGGGTAGCACTGACACACTCCACTGACTATTGAGAGTTAAATGGGAGATAGAAGCTCCTAATGCACAGAGCTTGGCAAACTGTTGACTTTAGAATTTCAGCCACAGTGCACTGATGAATATTAAGGCAAAGCCATTAATTGTTGACTGTTGGCTCAACAGCACCTGCTACTGAATTTGCAGGATCTTATTAACATGGGTTCAGAGGTGGTGGTGATCTGTGAATACACACACATGTTTAAAATGGAAAGGAGGAAGCCGGTATCATTAGCTCTGTTTATCTTTGTGTCAGAATYCAGACAAAACTCTATCAAACTGAGGTCTGGTAATCAGAGACTGGCCAGTGTAGTATTTCCCTAGAGTGGCTATTAAAGGAGGTTAAACGGAACATTTTGTGTATTCACCTCAAACATATTGTGCTTCAGTCTGACCTAGATAGATCAAAATGTGTTTGGAAGTTAATATGGAGAATCACAGATGAGACACGAGTGAAAGTTACCAAGTGTACTCTGCAGGGTRTTGCTTTTAGAGTTACCACTGATTTTCAGCACTCCCTATTTTCCTTAAATCTCTTACAGCTATTAATTTAAAGTTTAATAAATGGTAGCTTTCTCCCTTCCACTTCCTTCTGAAAAGTTCAAGCTTGTTTAACTAGGTGAAGAATTCAAAAGCAGTCTGGTGAACTGTTGAACAAGCAAAAGCAATTTCTGGTGGTCTGGGCAATCTTCCTTAAAGTCTAGACAGAAAAACTKGTGGAGATGTTTTTCCCCCCAATTGTGACATTCAATAACAGAGAAGGCACGACTCACACAGTACCTTTGCTGACACCTGCATGCTGTTTTCTTGCATGTTCATGATGGCTTCAGAAATCTTGACATCAATAGGATCCATGACTGATTCAATGTTGAATGGTCCCTCTAATCTCTCCGCTACCAGAAGCATAGCATCTGTTAAAACACAAAGCAGCCATTCCCTTAAAGAAGGGACAACTTTGGGTACCTCAGGCAGACCAGCACTGCCAGCTCTACGTGTGGATACTGAACACTCCTGAGCAGGAATCTGGGGAAATGTGGCAGCAGCACCTTCCTAGCTGTCAAAAATATCTTCCCCTACTGCTGCCTCTACAAAAAGAGGACTGAAGACTGAAAAAATCAGATTAATATTAGTTGCCATAGCATTATCGAGCTTGGGGTAAAATTATTTTGCACAGCTTCTCAAAACAACCAGTGCTCTGRAGTGTACTTATGTAATCTCCTTCCCAAGAAAAAGCAGGATGAGAGAAATGAATCCCTGGAGTGTGTTCTTAGGGTTTGTATGAGAGGATGAAAACTTTGATATGATATATCAGGGTGTTATAATTAAAGCAGCTGTTCTTTCTGACCTTAACGATCTCATTTTCTTGCAATATGAACAGCAGATGATTATTGGATTTCTGCCATAGTATATAGATATAAACATGTCTACCTCRTTACATTTTCAAACCTTGGTTGAAAGTTGTATGCAGAAACATATATTCTTTGTATGTTTTGGATTAAAACAAAAAAGTTTGCTTAATTAGAGCCCCTCTCCAAAATAATTTAATCTTTTGATGTTCATTAAAACATTAAAACCAGTTTTAAATGGTAAAAAAGAAGCAACTGAACAGAAATTAATAGCAGCAAAAAAGGTTTTGCCATACATCAGATATATTTGTCTATACACTGACMCAAATTTATCACAATTTATGTGGCAATAGCCATGTGAAAAACTGGATTTACAGTATACCTTTAAACACCACATTTGATCATTGTCTCCTATGTTAGGTTTAACATTTTCAGCAATTAATTAGCTTCGAGCAGCTGACACTTGTAATTTTAAGATGAGAAACAAAAATCTTCACATGTTCTCTCCTTTATACATCAGACTTAAGCTCCAGAAAGTACCAAACAGATTTCCTTCTGGAACAGCTCCATGCCTGCTTTGCTGTTGTTGGCACCAGTCCCACAACAGCTGTGTAGAGAAGGCGTGGAGCATCCCATAGATCCGACAGCAGTGCTGGTGAGCTCCACACTTGTCTGCAAATCACAGAGCTTTGTTCCAGCCTGCATGGCCATCTTTTCCTTCCTCACAAAACCACAAATGCATGGCAGTATGGGAAGAAGTACCTGGTGTCTCACCCTAGCAGCTGACACAAACTTCCATGTACACCTCACCTGAGGACTGCATTATGCTGTTTACATGCTGTTAATGCACACCTTAAAGTCCCAATGAAACTGGAATAGCTTGGCATGCAGCACCTAAGCACTTTTGCAAATTTACAACTAATACTTCACAGTACTTTTAGGCTGGAAAAAGTGTAATGCTAGTTATTTGGAGTGGGATGTACAGCACTTGTTGCCAGCTGTGAAAAATGGTGAGACGATAGGAAATTGGTTTCAAGCAGAGATGCTATTTTTCCTGCACATTATTTTAAAATTCTTTAGTTTACACCCTTTCCAGTGGGAAATGGTGAAAATGGGAACTACCTCTGATAGAGGAAACAGTTTTCATAGACACAARGACACACATATACCCATGCACACACATACACTCACAGATTCCTGAAATAAGTTAGCAATTGTTCCATGTGAAAAAAATACAGAGATTTTACAGTGTGGACTCCTATAAAGTATTTTATTCCTCACACATTCAGAATGACTTTTATAGAACACTTGTTCTTTAGTGTTTTGTGAGCAATGTGAGCAGCCCAAATCCTAGGTGCCACAACCAGTACTAGGCATTGCTGGGGCACGTGTCTTGGTGGCTGGATTTTGGCTGTTTACTTCAGGACTAGGGTTAAAAAAATTAGGGTGACTGCATGAAACAGTCAAAAGGTGGTGTTTGGGTTTTTTTTTTTGTTTGGTTTCATTCTGGGTTTTTTTGATAGGAATAGAATTACATTTTAAGTTAAGGACAGGTGCCTCTTTGTACAAGTCCACTTTATTTTGGCAACCAGAAGGTTGGACAAGTCTAGTGCCAAGCCCTATACATGTTCAGGGACTGTGCTGAAGCAGAGTTCAGCAAACAGGTAAGTGCTGGAGATGTCTCGTGAGAATGGCTCATAGCTCAAGCCTACTTGCTGTTTCTTCAATGGCATGGGGCGCTTGTTTGAAATTAAATCTTGAAATGAAATCTCAGCTGTGTGGCAGAAGAGAAAAGTGCATCATCCTTAACTGAACAAGAGCCACAGTTTTAATTTAAGAACAGCCTTTCCTCAAGCAAAGTGCCTTCAACTTCAGGATTAATAGCTGTAGGAGATGCAAACTAAAAATCTGTTCCTCTTGGACAGCTTGTATCTGTAGAAGGATGTCCTTTAGTTCATCAGCTTCTATTTTTTCTGAACCTTAAGCCTATTCATTATATCTATTCTTTATATATACATCTATATCTATCTATATATCTATATCTATCTATATCTATATCTGTATCTATATCATCTATATCTATATCTATATCTATATCTATATCTATATCTATATCTATATCATCTATATCTATAGCTATAGCTATATCTATATCTATATCTATATCATCTATATATCTAAATATTTATCTATATCTGCATCTATATCTGTATCTATATCTATATCTAATCTACATAGCTATTAGTTGTTAGGGAAGTGAGTAAAGACTGAGGCATGTGGGTAATTCCTGACTGCCAAAGGTGAGATTTTTACATTGATCTTCTTTCCTTGACATAGTATGGTATAGGTCTGATGRTGGTTTCAAGAGCCAGGGTTCAAGTTAAGGTTAGATTCAAGTTGATGTTTCAATCACATGGGCTATAGCTTTATACTATTGCTCTGTATAAAGGAAAGGAAGAAGATAAGAGAAAATAAAAGAAAATAAGAGAAGAGAGAAAAATCAAGCAGTAAATGCCTGCTTGTCGATACTCTTCAATTTCTATCTTCTCTGACTTGGAATGAAGCTGGACCACTCCAGGCAGCTATTCATAACTTAAATCTGTACAGAAGCTAGCCTGAAGCAGTGAGGGGCTATGAGCCAACACTTCACATTAGGGCCTTGYAATCTTTCATTTGATTAGATCTTAAGGATATGGATAGAAAGCAATGGGTTAAGGGAAAAATATAATTTGAAATATCCACACCTTTATTGAGGACAGGTGCATCTTTATATCAGCAGTTTGTATTTTCATTTTGGGGTTAGAACATTGGATAGGACTAATGCTGAAGTACACATATCTGGATGGACATATTTGAAGAATCTGAGAAATGGTTTAAATGCTGTGACAAGAGATGCTTGAAGGGCTGAAGGTTCCTCCTGCAACATTATTGCTGATGCTGGCACAAGCTGTGCTTCCAATTAAAGCTCATTTTAAGGACCAGCTCAGACTAAAAATCTTAGACAATTGCACAGTTCAGATGAGTTCTCACACAAATGGAAAATTAATGTTTGAGGACTCATTTTTCCCTCCCTTTCAGCAGCTGTGTGGGGCCATGGCTGATTGAGCAGTGACGGGGCTGCTGGGTTACTCTTGTCTCCTTCTGRCTGGAGTACTACAAGCTCAGTTGAGCAAAAGAAGATGAACAAGTGCCTCTTCAATGAATGCCAAAAGGATTTTCTTAGCCTGTGCATGACTGAGCTGTTCTTTCTATCCTTTCTGAAACCATCATGCTGTTCCTAACTAAATCAAACATATCCAGATGAGGCCTGACAGCCATAGATTGAGAGAAGCCTGGAAGAACAAGGTAGTCTTATTGTTRTGAGTGTTAAGGCCCCTTGTGAACAAACTGACTACTGTATTTAACTAGCTTCAACCTACCAATATTTTGAATTAGGCCTCAGATTTAAATTAAGACTGAATTTTTCATCCATAACATTGATTTCCAGGAAGAAACACTGATTTTAGGTGAATTCTTCTCTTGGAAAATATTTCCTCAGGTCACTAGGTTGAATTCTCTTGTTTGCCCACCCTAACTCTCATTTCAGTGCTAAACCTTATTATTCACTTGCACAGCTTCATATGAGCACATACAATATATGCATACCAGCTACTAGGAGCAATTGAGTGAAATGGAAGCTGTTAGGTTGAATATTGCGAAAATCAGATGAAATGTAATAATCTGAGATTTTTGACAGGACAGTCAAAATGTTGTAATGGCCCTCACCAGACTGCATATCTTCAAATTTGTAATCATGTATCAAAAAACATGACACTGTTGTCCCGAGTACTTTTTTTTCTTCTAAAAATGTTATGGAATACTACATGAGAAACTGGAAAGATTTCAAAATGACATTAAAATTGAGATGCCTCAGTCTTGAAATCTTAATTATCAAGAAGAGACCCTTGAACAGAACAAAAGTCTAGTTTAGTTCAGTGTGAATCTGAGTGGGCTTAATAATTTCTCAATCAGCTCGAATAATAGATATTGGAAACTTTATTATTGCTTATGCTTTAAAAATCTGAAAACTGATTGATTAATTACCTCTTTTCTCTGTTGTTAGTATACTTGGACTGTATTGTTCAATTTCAATGGTCTTTATTTTTCCTCTTTGTATTTTTTAAAAATCTGCTTTCTTAGGTTCRGTACGTCTTCCCTCTCCATACAATACAGCATTTGGCAAAAAGCTGGCATCTAGCTGCCAGCTGGGATGAGTGGATCAGGAGCTCAGTTTAGGTCAGTCATTCTTGTGCTGTGGGTTTGTGGGGGTTTATTTTGGGTTTATTGCAAACAATGAACATGACAAATTGCYCACTGGAGGACATAGGCTTGCCAAATGGTCCTGAGGAAGGGCAGAGCATATGGCACACCAGGGTCATTGTCAGTGCTGCTGCTCTCAGCCTCTCCTAGATGCTCAGAACAGGAGTGGGGACCTTCCTGATGTAGTAAACTCCCCACCAAGTCCCCTGAAGGCCTAGGGTGTAGTCCCAGGGACCCCAAGCTTTCTCTCTTAGCTGAACACAGCA